TTGATCCTCATTTTACTCCATTAAACTCAACATCTTATAGCTCTTCATTACTTATTATACTCCTACTCTCTGAAGGGTACGGTTGTGCACTAAATGCACAAAAAGGTATAAAATAAAAACAACTGGCATGAGGATAATTGTATTAAAACCAAAAGTGGATATCATGATAGTTTGTGATATATCTGTAGCATTATACATTGCAAATGAATGTTGTTACCCTAGGGTGTTTCCTTTATTAATGCATTTATTAATGATACTTGCATTTACCTATTTCATTACAATTTAATGATTCACCTCAGCACTTTAATTTTTCTAAAACAGATTCCAATCCCTTGTAAAAGGTGTACTTACCTCAATATTGGTTGGTTATCGTATGCCTACAACCACGGGATGAAAACGGAACGAAGTCGATTTTCCCGCTCAACCTGGAGGACAACTGTACAATTCAATAACTATACGGCCTAATTCAGAAAATGAGTGTATTATATGTATCGAATATTTAACAGTTGAAATACGATTAACTTGTAGACAATCTACGATTTGATATTATATCATACTTGATCGTGCCTGTAAAAATGGCATGCATTTTCATGTAAATTTGTAAATTTATATGAAATACATTATTATTATCAAAGCAACCAGGCTTTAAGCAAGCAACAAACATGAACAAAGAGTAAGTTTTAGGTTAAATAAGTGCCTAGGTGGTGAAGATAAAATAGAGAATAATAGTACGTAAATAAAAAATTATCGCGAGGTATATAAGTGGTATTTCAGTGAGAAGTGAACTCAAAGATCCGGAAGATTATGATAACACCAAGATCTGTCTGGGTCTGAACTGAGGGGAGGGGCATTTCCGCTATGTCAAAAATAATCACACCTGCGCACTCAATGCACGTAACTGCGCATCCCTCTACCTTTGTAGAGAGCATTCATCCTTCGAACAATTTTAACTGGTTGACTAGATCTGTTTGCAAAATAATAACATATTTATTCCCATCTTTGTAGGATACTCCAGTTTTACAGGTATGGATCAATATTATTTAAATTACATAAATTTGGTTCATGGTGAAATTACATGGTTGGTGTCCTTTTTGACATTGGTTTGTGGGTACAACCTGCTAACTAGTCATTCAGTGGAGCACATTAATAAATATAGAAATACTGTCTTCGCATTAACAAAAAACCCCAAATATGTATTAGGTGGATTACAAATACTTGGGAAAAAATAAAGTTTGAAGTGAATTCCCCCATATAACTTTGATGTGTGCGGTTAGTATCTTATTCTTGGTTTATATCCAAATTGGGTATTAATTTAAAATAAGTGATGTATTCGTATAATTTTGTCAGCACTTTTATCGTGAGTAACACCAGAAGTGAATTGTACTCAATGCAGACTAATATTGATCATTGTCAGAGAGATTTGTTTTACTGCGTTGAAGTCAGGCGCCATTTGTTGCTGCACGGTTGTTCCGTACGATTAATATGTAAAAAGGTATTTGTTAACCATTTTAGATCATGGGTACTGCTTTTATAGGATGCTGTATAGCGTCCTGTTATGTTGACTGTGGATATTCCAAGCATGCTGAGTCAATGCTAGCCAAAACCTTGACGGATGATATATGAGTAAGTAACCGCAATTCTTGCTCAGCTTCAGTCTAACTGTAGATCTGTGCAACTTTCACTACAGGGCAAACAGAAGAGAAGAGGCGGGCAGCAAAGTACCAGAGAGGAAAGAAAAAGTATGTGGAGCCAAATAGAACCTTAATGTTTATAAGATCTTAATAGGCATGCTGGCATCTTGAAGCTTTCTCTCAAAATTTAAAGGTCATCTACTAAAAAAATAAGAGATTAGTCAGGACAAATAGAAGGGGCCGAGTGCAGTACCATATGGCAAATCCCTACCTACCATGTCCGAGAAGAAGGTTTCAAGGCGGCCCTGACTCTCCGTGCCTTATAAAGAATTGCTTGATCTAGTTGACCATACTGCTCAAAACACCAGAATTTTTAATTTTATGTGCAATAGGGTGTGAAAACTTCGTCGTTGCCTTGTTGAAACACACGAAGGCAACGTTGACGGACTGCTTGGTGTTCATGGACTTGCCCCAGCTCTCCTTTATTGTTAAGTTAGCCGCGCAATAGATAAAATTTTAATGGTTTTTAAACATGCTGTAATAACCCCATCAGTTGATGTTGCCAGTATCTCAATCAAGGTACTAGTAAGACTAATATGCCTGTAGTTTGGAGGACTGTGTTCAGATTCTGCCTTATGAATGGGGTTCATTTGAATCTTTCCAGTCACGCGCTAACACCTTTTGTAAGAAGGATATCGTGGAGAAAATTAATTTATTGGCCGGCTATGTGAGCTCCTATTGCCTTGGGAATTTTTAAGTAAAAGTCATCGGATCCCCCTGATTCGATCTTGTCTGGTTCACTTATGGACTGAAGTAAGGTGTTTTAGTGGACATCAACCCCCGTCCATACTGTCTTCTGGTGGAGCAGCCAGAGCATGGGGGTTTTACGAGTGTTGACGACTTCTGTGTGACAACTGTGGAAACGTTGTCTGCCACCACTTCTGCTTTTTCCTGATTTTCTTCTCTTGTGTTTGCATCATTAAGCAGGTTGTGAGTTCTCTGGGATGTCCTATTCCAGAAGTCCTCATATGAAAATCGTTTCTTGTGTTGCATCTCAAATGTCACTCCTGACTGTAAATATTTTCGACAGCTTTGTTTCTGTATGCACTATATGGCTTCCTGGCACCCATTGAGTAGTGAATGCTTGGCAGCACGTTTGTTCAGGCCTGAGAAGTCCACCACTCTCATGATATATCCATGTAGAGAGATGTTTTTCAACCTCTGGGACAAATCATTGGACATAGGATTGGGTTATGCAGGTGTGTAATTACCTGAATTGACTCTACACGGCTTCTACACGGACTTAACCATTTAAAGTTTAGTGCTCTGTTGGGATTGCAGAAATGAAAGCATTTATATTCCTTTCACAAAATAGTGGCAAGGGTGAATTCAGCCCGAAATACTGCAGCACGCTTGACTTCATAGCGGGGCTGAGTGATACAGGCGCCGCGCGAAGAACCCTTGAGGATTCAGAATTTCAGTCTTCGCTCAAAGCGACATAAAACCATACTGTTCCAATTACAATCGACCAAATACAGAACAAAACCAAATGGCTCCAAACACAATTATATTGATAACAGGGTGTTGAAGTACTGGAAAATTATTTTTCTGTTAAGCGAAATGTAATAGATAAACATGGCACAAACCTTCAAATATGAGGTTATTTGGCATAAGGAGAAAAACTGAGCACTGTGATAGAGCAAACTTCCACTATGGATAAAATTTATTTTGATAAAGTCACACAGTGCTATGCAGTAATATTTACTGGTGGTGACGTCCTGACCACAGCTTATCGTTCATAATCACATCACATAATAAGGTACTCACACAACTTAAGAACTTCGTTTATTTATGAGGGTAAAATTTGATTAAACATATGAAACAAATCAATAAAGGTTTATTAAACATGCGTGAAACAGAAAGGAAGATAAACTACATTCAGAAACAATATTAGTGTTATCAGAGAACATAATACGATGGGACTTAAGGCGAGTGTTGTTAGTCAGTAGGATGGAAAATAAGATCTATTTTAGTAAAATAAAGAACTTGTTGGGGTGTTGTGATGTGAATTGTAATAAAGGTTAAGATTATTTATTGTCCCCTGATTTGACTGGTAATAATATCTTCCATATATCTGGTATTTACCTTGAGTCATATCTACTGAACACGTTGGGTAAAGACTCAATCAACCAGGATTCAGTAATCGACCAGCCTCAATATCTGTCTTTGTTACTTCTTACAATTTTTCCTCTCTTCCAACTTGCTGTGCTGTTATGTGTTGGTGTATGCAGTGAAATTGCAGGGTTTTTTCTAAATTACTTATCTTCATGGGGTCAATCATTGTTACCTAAGTTTAGTTCTTAACTCATAGTGATTGTAAGGTAGTATATAAATGATGTGATTTCGTCTATTTGGGTCAAATGACAGGGTCCTTTAACCTACAGGGCTTGTCCTATCTGAATGAGTTCGTAGGCTTAAATGCCACGATAATTCCAGATTTACTAAGAATCCTACGGAGGGTCTCAGCTGTCCCATCCTTATATACATGTATATATTGATTATAGCTTGAAACCACACAGTATTTTTGGTACAAGTATGGAATTTTCAGCATATGATATCAGTAGCCCAAATTTGCAGGCCGACCATAGATATCAGGTCTGCGTCGGCAGAAAATCGAACCCCGGCCCATGTGCATGGTCGGCGAGAGTCCTAACCGCTGTGCTACCGACGCAATGGTAAAACTGTAGATGTGTTATATTCTTTGAAGTGCTGCTTAGCCAAATATTGTGTCCTTAGTATTACTACGTTTATTGTCCTTTGTCCGTGAATTGAAATGGAGTCAAGAGGAGAGACGGGACATAGTCGTAAGGGAAATAAATATATTGGGAACTTAAAGTTTTACAAATTGACAAATGAATTCCTATAATTTCAATATGTGGTGATATCTTAACAACACAATGTCAACAGAAAACAGGAAACCACATCGAACACTTAAGAGTTTCTCAGACATAAGGAACCAAAGAGTGAATGCGTATAAACAATTAAATGTTGCAAACGCCTAATATGTGGAAATGAATGACAGAGCGGTGATGACACTTTAATAAATAATTCATCAGAATTTGCATAAGAATAAGCAAAACAGACATGAAACAGACATTGAGATAAACTCTTTAGTGTATCAAAAGCAAAAGACTCATGACACGCATAACTTTTCAACTATCCTGAATTTGAATCCTCTCTCTTGTTTACATGCTTTGTAGATATGACCTTCGGGTGTAACTTAAAATGTCACACATTCAACACATATATCGGAAAACGTGGTAATCATTAATGATTATTCGAGTTATTTAAATAAATTCAATCTCAAAAATGAAGAAGACACAAGCAATGACTACAGAAGTATTTAGTCTATGCATAATTACTACTGTGATACAATTATGTTTGACAACACACACCACTAATCTGACAAAAGAAAGATGTCAGGTTGCAGTACAAGAAGCACTTTCAATGGGACTGAACTTCCAAGCGCCCCCTAACCTTCCTATATTTCGTAAGTCTCCCTACATATATTTGGTTTCCTAAGACTATCTATCTCGTCTGTATACAGACGAAATGATTGCTAAATTAATTCTTTTGTATTCAGGAACATATGAGTCACCTGTATTTATTGCACTCCAATACTTGAACTTCTGAAAGTATCTTAAATTCATAGTATTTTGAATGGAAAAATTCAAAAAGCACGTCATTTGGATTTTTCTTAGAGGTTTTGATTGTTTCAGAGTTATCCCGAAAATTTTATTATCCCTACGGACCTTATTTTGATTGGCCCCCATTGCTTATTAGTTTATAAGTTAATTATAAGCGGACGAGCAGGCCGTCACTTCTGCTGATTTTTTGAAAGCTGCTTAAAGTTCTCACTTGTCACCCGAATTCTAACATTCGTGATGATTTTCGTCGAACTTATAACTTAACATTAAACAAAGGCAGAGACCTATAGCAGCACCGCCAGTTATTATTTTTTAAAGTGACTAAAGGTAATAAAGAACTAGAACTCGCGTGTAATACTACGCGAAAATATAAACACATCGTTTAGACTAAGAAATTATATAAGATGTGGCGATATAGGGATACACAACTAAGAGAAAACTTCTCAGAGTTTGAGGGAAACAATAACGTATGATTAAAGTTCGGATGTAACACTTTTCAAGTATAAAGCTCATGATCTATTTCTCTATACAAAATGCTTGATGTTTTGCTATTGCTCAGCTGTTGGTAACCAAAATTAACTAGTATCATAGTTATAATTCTGCATTTTCATTATTTAACTGGCCTTTAACAAGTCTTCTTCGTTGATAGTGATCTGTTCTTTATAATACATTAATTGTACACTGAAATCTTTTCAACACAAGTTTTTCTTTGATTGTTAGAGTCCCTCACAAACTCACTGCTTCTCACTGATATAATCTTTAGCCGACTTCATAGTTTAAGCCCTCATAGAGCAATATTTTGCTAAGATGCTTGCCTTTAGCCGATATTTCCTCCAGTTTACATTTTAGAAAATGTTATTTTAATATATGCAGCTTCTTAACAGCAACAGATTTTAATATATATCAAATTTAAACAAACCACATGCAGAATGAAAGTAAATACATATTTGAGTGCTCTCTTTGATAGCTGAAACGCAATTCATTTTACCGCTTTATTATGAGTATACTAAAACTGACAAAACTTAATATGATAAAGTTACAACAAATTTTCAAAACTAATGTCCTCAATCATTTATTCATGCGTGTATGTTGGTATGGGTGCAGGCAAGAAATACATATTCTGGTTATTTTTGAAGCACACTGATTGACTTCGAAAAATGAACTGGTGAATTATTCATCAGTCCGCAGTTAAGCTAGAGAAAATTTATTCTATAGTATGTTTTAACTTATTAGGCCCCACTCATTCGCGTAGATATGATGACAGTTTAAACGGGAATCTTCGTATAATATGCGTGAAGCGGGACCTCAAAATGTGAATGGTACTCGGGAAGAAAATGATAAGATCCCTAAATAGGGACTGAAATACCCATCCAAAGAGTGTAATCAAACGTTGCAGAATGGACTCAACTACTTGTCGAAAACACTAATGTACACAATCAGTAGGGTATTTTATCACTTTGTAAACCTTGCTACGATATATGATTTATAGGGACTGATCAAAATTGTGGTTATAATTGAAGAACACGATAGGTTTTCTGAAGTAAATCAGATGTGTATTTTGAGCATAAGAAGTAAAGCTCCACAGTTTTTAAACTTTCAGAATATTAAAAAGGATTTTCCTTATTTTAATAATAATTTATTTTGTAACTCAAAAAAGTTTAATTATAGTGAATTTACAATTGAACATGAAGCTCTAAGAGTTAAAAAATAGGGCAAGTGTTTGTTTTGGGTTTATAAAGGCATTTTATTACATGACCGGTGTTTTCACTAAGTGTGGTTTATCATTTAAGTTACCACTTTGTCACCAGTGCAGGCTGTAAAAGTGTTATTTTCATGGCTTCCTCCAATTTCCAAATAGTTAGGTAATCATTTCGACTTGATGTGTAGGGATATCAAGTGAAACTGGTCAATAAAAAAGAACTACAGATAATAAATTTTTAGATTTAGCAGTAAAAACACAACGTAAATAGTATCATTTGAAGTGACTAAATCATTCGAATTGTTTAAAGCAAATCATCAAATAAAGTGCTAAACACACGTAGGCGGGCTGATTATACTTCTGTTGTGGTGAAATTTTGTGACTAAGTAATGACTAGCTGGATAATTACACAAAGTTATTTTCGTTCCAGTAGTAAAATTCCTTGTTATAATTGTAATATAATAGGTTTCGAACCGGCGAATGGTTTCACGATGCCATAAAACTGGTCGTCTCCTCACAATATATAATTTGGACCAGTTGGTTGACTTTCTATTATTGCTGAGTATGATTTTAGTTATCCTTGAAACTATTCACCTGAAAGTAGATCAGAATTGTGATCTCATGTAGACAGACTTATCGAAAACCATCCATCTTTATATTATTTTCCCATTATCAGTTGCAGATTTTTATTGACAGAAAGGTGTGGACATACGTTTATGAAGTCAGTTGACTTATAACGATGAAAATGCTTCAAAATGAGTCAGTATTGGAAAGTTTTGAGTGTAATATTCTGTCATATTGCTTAGTTTATGGCAGACTTGAAAACATAGAAGTTTTATGAACTACGCTTTGGCGTTTGAAACTATAGGCACTGTTTTCGAGCCTCGTTGGGAACATGATCACTCACTCAGTGAGGAGTGCAGGCACATCCAGCTGACGACGAGTCCTAAATAGCACGAAATGTGCATCCTGGTTGATTCCAATGTTAGTCACCAACCCCCAGTTAACTTCTGATAGAGTAAGGCTAAAATAAATAAATAGATAAATAATTTCTCTGAGAGATTTCAAACAAACCGAACTACTTATGATCGTAATTTTAAGACAATTCTGGATGTTATGAAGCTTTAGAAAGACAAATGATGATGGTAGTAATATCTAAGAGATTATGATAGAAAATATACTATCCAATTACCAAATTTATGCTTACATGTAACTAATGCGTTTAAATGCACACTCCTTGTCTAGAATGATATAATACATATAATAATATAATCAATCCCGCTATTAAGCGACTTTGTTAAGATATTATTGTTATTATAATTGTTCCCTTGGGTTCCTAGTGAAACATAGGGCTTCAGCTGCACGTCTCTATTTGCCTCTGTCTTCTGCTGTATTTTTCACCTGTATCTATGTTAGTCCACACTGTTTCAACCCCTCTTCACACGACCTCCTCCATGACACCCTTGAACGTCCCACTCGCCGCTTCCATTTCGGGTTCCACTCGAGCTACGGCCTGACGCACGATGTCACCTAGCGGCCTCTTCAGTGAGTGTCCAATCCATCTCCACTTTCTCCTGCATATTTGTTCAGCGATTGGTTCTTGTTTTGTTTGTTTCTTCCCATAGTTTCTTGTTGGTGATTCTTTCCGGCCATCTGATCTTCAGTATAGAGTCAGCGAAGACAGCTGTTGTTGATAAAGGTCTGCAACAGGCTGTTGGAAATATTCTTTGTGACCCGCCGCCAAGTTTCTGATCCAAAGCAAAACTGACTTGACGTTTGTATAGAAAATCCGAATTTCGTTGTTTATGCAGGCTGAGTGATGAAGATTTCCAGATTGCTTTCCGGTTAATGCATGTGTTTCTCGCCTTCCCGATTCTCGCTCGATTTGACATCGTCGTCCGTTCCTCCTGTAGTTGAGACAATGCAACCTAGGCAGGTGAATGAAGTAACCTCTTTCAAATCCCTCCCGTTGATGGTGATTGGCGTTGGATGTTGCTGCTGATGTTGTTGTTGTTGGTTGGTTATTTTCATAACCTCCATCTTGTCTATGTTCACCTGGAGTCCTGTCTTCTCCGGCTGCTTCTTCGATCAGTTTGTCGGTTTTCGCTTGTAAGTCTTCGATTTTGTGTGACATCAAACATACGTCATCCACGCGCGAAATCCAGGTCTTCTAGATTCTTCACGTCGGTCCAGGATATCCCTGTCTTCTCATTTCCCACTGTCTGACGCATAATCCAGTCCACCACAATTAGGAATATCATTGGTGATGATGAGCACCCTTGTCTGACTCCTGTGTTTACTCCAAACCACTCGCTGAGTTTCCCGTTGTGGATCACTTGACATGTGTCGTTGTCGTACAGCTGTTGAATAAGGTTGATGAATATTTGGGGTACGCCGTAGTACTCGAGTAGTTTGCAAATTACTTCGCGGTCAACGCTGTCTAAGGCCTTATCAAAGTCTATAAAGTTGAGGTAGAGGTTTGATTGCCATTCCATGCTTTGTTCGATGATGATGCGTAGAGTTGCAATTTGGTCAGAACATGATTTGCCTTTCCTGAATCCAGCTTGTTATGGTCGGAGTTCTGTATCCAGTGCGTCCTTTGTTAAGATATGATGCAGTAAATTTCCTCGGAATGAAATGGACTTAAAATTTTACCAATGGGTATTATATTCAGGTATTGGTTTGCAGGAATTTAATTTGATGATGACATCTGTTTGAGAAGCACTGAACAACCTACAGGGAGCACTGGACATCTAGCTGTTTCATCAGACTGGTTTGGAACTCTGGTTCATCACTACACACACACGCACACACTATAGGCATTTCGAATCCAGGGGCTTCCTGTTCCAAGGCCAGGCCAGCTAGCTCGTAGACCATTCATCAGCGACTGGAACCCAACCTGATTGAATGGCTATTCCATGAATTCTAACTTCTACCAATAAATCACAATATATAGTCACTGGAACTAGCCAATCTCATCGGTGGAGATCTACCGTTCCCTAACTGCTGGAAGAGTCCCAAACTAGGGCTAAAAAAGGTGTCCAGTACTCCCTGCTAATATAAAACGGTTCTCTAACGGATGTCAACTCATCAAGATAAAATCCTGTAACTAATTAATGGACTCACACAAAAAACTTGGAGGAT